GATCAAGTTAGTAACTTGAAAGGGAATAAAGAGTACGGAAATTTAGGTGGGGATGCTTGGATTCCAAGCTCAGGTCTTTCTCTGATGAGGGAGAATGTAGGTGTAATAAATGATTGAATTTGTCCCCAAAATGGGAAAATATCTCCCTCATTATAGGGTCATTGGAGAACGTGCCCCCAATCTAGGTCACTTGACCTAGATTTCAATGGGCTGCGCCGTTTTACGGCGCTTCTTGGGATTTGGGCCCTTGAAGGCCACCATTTCAGAGATGTATCCAAGGGGGCCATGTGTCAAGAGGATATTAAGCCACGTGGGCCATCCTGAACTCGACACGTGGCCTCCTCTCATTGGTCCACGTGTCTAAGGTATTTTTACCCTAAACAAGATGAACTCCTTTTTATTTTTTAATATGCATCAGTTTTTGAGACGTATTTTTTACCATTAATATTTTTTATTGTCTATTTGTAAAATAGTAACAAAATTAAATTATGAAAATAGACATTATGACTAATCTAGTGATATATTATATATAACATTTATACATATCTTTATAATATCAATTTATAATGCATAAGCCTAGGGCTGTACACCGGTCCAAAACCGGACCGGACTTGGACCGGACCTGTTGGGACCGGGACCTGAATCAGGGAATTTTGAGGACCGGAGACCGGACCTGATTCAACAGGTCCGGTTCCGGGTTAGACCTGAAAAAATCAGGTCCGGTCCGGGTTCAGACCTGAATAGACCTGTTTTTTTATTTATTTTTTGATTTTTTATTTAAAAAATAAAATAAATAATAACATAAAATCTGATATTATCAATCATGAATACTACATAAATTGTATAAATTGACTAAAGTCTCAATTCCCAAACACCAAAAATACTAGACAACAGCAACCACCAGATCTACCACCTTCAAAGTAGATGGTCGCAAAGGAAGGTCGAGGTAGATCGTGAAGCGAGTAAGAGGGCGATTGGTGTATGATTGGGTGGCTGCAGTCGCTGGAGTCGCGCGATCTGGTGGATGCGGTCGCCGGAGTCGCGCGTTGTGGTGGCTGCGTTCGCTGGAATCGCGCGATCTGGTGGTTGCGGCCTCTAGTGTCGCGCGTTCTGGTGGCTGCAGTCGCTGGAGTCGCGCGATCTGGTGGCTGCGGTCGCTAGAGTCGCGTGTTTTGGTGGCTGTGGTTGCTAGAGTCGCGCAATGTGGTGGTTGCGGTTGCTAGAGTCGCACGTTCTAGTGGCTGGGGTTGCTAGAGTCGCGCGATCCAGTGGTCGCTAGAGGAGTGTGCAGCGTGAGGGAGTGGGTTTGTAAGTGTGTTGTGTGACTTGTGTCGGCTGAGTGGGTTAGAGAGTGAGTGATTAAGTTAGGGTTAGAAATGAACTGACTTCTTGTTTTGATATTTGGGAAAAAAAAGTTTTTTTTTAAAAAAAATACATTTTTACCGGGTTTCAGGTCCAGACCTGAAAACCCCGGGTTTGGACCTGATCCGGACCGGGACCAGGAACCTTGAATTTTAAGGACCAGGACCGGACCTGAATCTACAGGTCCGGGTCAAGTCCGGTCCCAACAGGTCCGGATCAGGTCGGTTTTCAGGTCCGGTCCTGTTTATGTACACCCCTACATAAGCCAAATAAAAACATTTAAAAAAGAAAAAAAAAAGAAAAGAAAAAAAGAGAGAGAGAACTAGTGAAAATGAGAAGAAAGAAAAGTCAATCTTTATAAGCTCACAAAAACAACTGAATATTATATACTTACCTCCGTTAATGGTTATGTATAACTTTAAAACATTTTATATCTCACAAATAATATCCCAAAGTTCAGGGCCGTCTCGGAGATTATGGGGTCCTGTTCTAAAATATAATTTGGGGCCCTATATATATAAAAATCTATACTAAATTAAAAAAAAATGGATACAATTGAAGATTTTAGTAAACAAATGCTGTTACAGCAAGATAAGTAAACGTTAGAAGATGCAGTACTAGGCTATTGGCTTGTAGCATTGTAAATAAAACAAAAATAAAAATAAAATTCAAACTTTGTCAAAAAATAAAATTTTAAAAAATATACACACTTTAGGCACTTCACTACTTGTAGTTCACTTCAAATTGCAATTTTGCATAGTAGTAGAGATGAAACCAATTATAAAAGTAGTATTGTTTTAGTTTACCACAAATTCCCAATATTGAATAATGTTTTTTTTTTTTTAAATATACGTATTAGGAATTTCTAAATCTAATTCACATTCTTGTATGGAAAAGAGGGGAAGTATTGAAATTAATTGATTATTTTGGAAAAGAAATAAAATTTAATGGGAAGCTAAAAGAAGAAGATGGAATATAGAAATTAAATACAGTAATAATTGTAATTCAAATTTGATAATTTGAATAAGCGTGACTTTTTCTTTACAAAAAATAAAATAAGTGTGATATGATGGAAGAGAGAGTACAGAAAATTGATTTCCAAGCCATAAAAAACGAGAATACAACATTGTTGGGCCCTCTAATTTTTTGGGCCCAGAGCAATAGCACACTTTGCACACCCTCATCTACGAGCCTACCAAAGTTGCACACACATAACTTTTAACACGGTAGTATTACATATAATATATATAACATTTATATATTATATAACTGTCTATTTTTATTTTTATAAGCTCACAAAAACATCTAACCTATCCCTCAATAAGAGAGAATGTATTGCTACCGTGATCTTAGATTCATGGTTTTTTTTTTTTTTTTTTTGTAAGGTATTTTTCTGTAAAGGTGTCAAAACCACACTCAATCCGACCTGATCTGAAACTGAATTAAAAAATATCCAATTTAGATTTCGACTCGTTTGAATACAATAATATACTATGACTCAAGTTATAAAATTGATATGACCCAATCTGACCTCACTGAACCCGATCCGAACACCTGAATTGACACCTTTAAATTTTTCCCTACATTTCTTGCATAGTCCTTATTTGTTTCAAGTCATTTTAGTGTTTGTGTGTGGTTTAGCTCGCCTTCAACTATTTGGCTATAATTTCTTTTACTTTATTTGTTACGGAGTATATGATAGAGTATAAAACATATTCCTGGGCCTCAGCCATCAGCTTAAGCTTTTGGTTGAGTTGGTCCTCTAACATGTTATCGGAGCCAGCGTGACACAAAGGTCACGGGTTCGAATCTCATCCACCCCTCCTTCAAAGTGGAATTAATTCGCACCATGTATGGGTGCGCCTTTAATGGAGGAAGAATAACAATGAAGTAATTCTCAAGGTGATAAGACAGATGATGTTCTTGGTGGCCTAGTATCAAATCTTATGGAGTACATTTTATGGAAGATAGAGAGGAAGGGCCAAATATGAATAAATTAGGTGTACTGTTGAAAGTTGTACTAGTTGTCAAAAAATATAAATGTAGTGTCGCAATTATTTAAAACAGCCCAAATCAATAAGTGTTGTAATTTTAGTGAAATAGAATATTTTATAATTACTTGCCTATATTTTTCATATTTATATATTATGTATTCATTTTTTTTTTTTTAAACTAGGAAAAATTAGAAATATTAATCCCAACTTTGTCTAATTTATGTAGAATAATCCCAACTTTTAATTATACTGAAATAATCCGAACTTTGGGGGGTCTTCTTTTTCTTCAATCCCAAATACCCGTTATTACCAGTTGAATGGGTTAATTTTTTATTTTTTTTATTAAAATGACACGTGTCACAAATTAATTGGTTAAAAAAATATAAAAAACAAAATATAAAAAAACCCAAAATAATCCACCAACAACCGGACAACCACCCAACCCCTCCACCCTTGCTCACCGGAGCCCCAAACCCCACCCACTACCCTCTCCCTTTTTCACCGGAAAAACCACAGATGCCAGACGAAAACCTAGCCCCGACCTTCCCCTACTCCGGAAAACACCATCTCTACCCCTATCTGACCTCCCTCATCCTGAAACCACCGAAACCCCAGCCCCACCCATTGTTGGCTTCCCTTCTTGCCTCGCCAACCACCACAGCCTTGCCAAACACCACGGTTACGAACCCCAGCCGCACCCACCGACCTCAAAACTACCAAACAATCTCTCAATTCCCCCCGTCACAAACGCCGGCCGGCATACCGGTCACAGAACTCACTTGAAACCCTTCCCCTAATCTCGAAAATACCTAACACACCCTCGAATTTGCGTTTTGGGGTTTCGGTGGCTGCGATTTTGGGATTTAGGTGCCTGCGTTTAGGGGTTTTGGTGGCTTCAACCTTGGGGTTTCTGTGGTTGCCTGGGGGAATAGGAAGGTGTTTTGGGGAGGGGGAAAAACGGCGACGTAAGGGGTGGGGGATAGCGGCGGTTCAGCGAGGGGATAGGAGGCGGTCTAGCTATGGTGGTGGACGGAGGTAAGGGTGCACGGTGGGGGAAGGGGAAGGAGAGGTTGGCTAGGATTTCATTTTTTTAATTTTTTTTGGACCAATCAGGGCTTGCCACGTGTCAAGTGACCTAATATAGTAGGTCATTGACTTTTGTTGACCGGTTAGGGATTGAAGAAAAAGAAGACCCCCCAAAGTTCGTATTATTCCAGTATAATCAAAAGTTGGGATTATTCTACATAAATTAGACAAAGTTGGGATAATTATTTCTAATTTTTCCAAAAAACTAAGCATTACTTGAGCATTACCTATTAAAGGTATAAAACAATTCATCATGTGCATTTCATTAGGTGTCAACAAGCATTGGAGGAGTTGGAGCAATTGATCGATTAAGGAGTTGTTCTAAGGTCCCATTCATGTCCTTTAACGAACAAACCATCCATCATTGGTAGGGAAGCTTCACTTTCACTCTTAATACTCAACCTGACTTGAATCTAGATTTATTGGTATCTAATTCTATATATTGTCTATATATAATACAATATGGTTCAATTCTATTGGCGTTCACAACTATTTAATACGAGTAGACGGTAATAAATAAATGACAATAATTAATTTATACATATAACAAAATTATAGTTAGCTGAGAAAAACATTGTACATAAGCATTAATTTTACATCATCACTTGACCCATGAATAATATCAGTAGACCCTATATCTCTATTATTAACCACTTTAATAACAGCATATCCATTAGCATCATTAAACTTGCCAGTACCACCAATCACAGCAACATGACACTCTAAAACATCTCTCAAATGCACCCCAAAAAACTTCAAACTATCTATCTCATCACTACTCTTATCATCATCATCTCCATTTTCAACTGAAAAACTCACTGTCATAGCCATCATATGATTATTATCTGATGATGAACTCATGGCCACATAAACCCCCTTAGCCTTCCCCACCACCGTCGGTCCAAACACTGTGTTTTCGACGTATATATTCTCTTCAATGTTAGTCACTAACCCGAATTCCAACTCCTCTTGGATAGTACTAGCTGTCGGGAAAACAATCCCGAACCTAGGCATATCTGTAGCTGTTTGTGTAAAAGTGTTTCGATCATTATTAGGGTTAGTTTGGTAGGGTATGGGATGTCCCCCATATGTAAGAGAAAAAGTTCCTAAGGGCTTCGAGAAAGGAAGTGCTTGTTGTTGTTGTTGTTGTTGTTGTTGTTGAGGGTTTATTGTGTTTTTTGTTGAAGGTTGTATGTCTTGCATAATGAATGTTATTGAAGGTTGAGTTGGATGTTGGAATGCTTGAGGTGGGTCGGCGACGTCGAGGAGGATTCGAGCTGAGTAAGCGGAAGTTAGGATTGTGTAGAGAAAGAGGAGAAAGAACACACATGAGAAAGACATGATTTAATAAGAAAGCTTGTTATGTGAAGGTATTGGAAGATGGCTCACATCATGTTATTTTAGTTTTGCATTTAGGAAATTTTGTTATTTATCAAGTATAGTTTTTAAGCTGATGGAGTTGTTATAATGTCATAACTACAAGCCTACAACTAATCCATCCAATATCCATGTATCAGTAATTAATTTGATATAATATTTGTCACCATTGTCGGAGTAGTTTTGGTATTTTGGATTCATAACTACCTTAGCTAGTAACTAACTAATATTACTAGAACTAGGGATGTTAATGGAGCGGGGCGGGGCGGATGTTGGCCTTCCCATTCCCATCCCCACCTAAAATTGTCATCCCCATCCCTATCCCCATCCCCGCCGCGGGTCCAATGTTCATCCCCATCTCCGCCCCGGCAGATACAACTCCAAAACCATCCCTGTCACCCCCTCTACTTGGATATCCATCCCCACCTAATCCCCACCAAAGACCCGCCTAATCCCCCACCTAAGACCCACCTAATCTCCGTCTGTTAAATACACAATCCTACGTAATTAATAAGGATTATAATAAAAAAAAAACATTTTAAATATTACACACATTTTTGTTTATAATATAAGTGTAGTACAAAGTATTATAACTAACATTATATTTCACGTTATTATTTTATAAAATAGTATAAAGTATATAATTTTGCTTGTTAATATATATAGACGTGGGTATAAGGTGGGGATGGGGCGGGTGGGGCGGGGTGGGGATGGGGCGGGTGGGGCGGGTACAAGTTAAAATCCACCCCCGCCCCATCACCCATGGCGGGTATGGTTTTTATCCCCATCCCCGCCCCACCACCAGCCAAACCGAGACCCATCCCCGCTCCAGTGGGGCGAAGATGGAGCGGGTCTCCTACTTAACCCGCCCCACTGGCATCCCTAACTAGAACTAACTAATCCTAACGGCAATATATGAAAATGGTATTCAAGTGCTTCTCTTATACGAGTAACAAAACTAGACAACTAAAGTAGGTAGCTAAAATTTTTGCCAACCAATCTGGCTATTTTATGCGAGATGACAAAAGTTATTTATGGAAAATGGTATGGTCTAGTATTAGTCCATTTAAAAAAATCATCTAATTAAGCTAATATCGTGACATTTCATATTAACGCCAAATAACTAAATAAATATTTGCTAGGTGACTTTTCCTCAAAAAAAAAAAAAAAAAAAAATGTATTAGCTAGGTGACCAACTCTTTTATATATCTTACAATCAAGTGATCTCAAAATTCTTATATTGCCTAGTACTATTTTATATTGTAAATTACTCAATTTAAAAATCCAAATTTTTTATCTAGATGACTTTATTTAATATACCTAAAAAATTTATATTGTTAATGGTTAGAAAATAAAAGTAACAAACATATAGAACAACTCCAATGGCAAGTTAGTTGTAAAGTTCGCTTGTCATACTAAATAAGCTTTTAATTATCCTTCTAGCTAGTTTGAGTCCCAATAAAATGGTTAGCTATTAGCTTAATATTAAATTATTAATATTATATTATTTTCATTTTGGTTACAAATTTACTTTTAGGCTTTTATCATTTCCTATTTGGCAAGGTTTTTTTAATTTTTTTAATTTTTTTTTTAAAGCTTAGCGTAGTCAAGCTTATCAGCTACAAACTATTTAAAATTGCAAGCAAGTCTCTAGCTAGCTACACCAATTGGAGTTGTGATATACTAATTAACATGTTAATGTTATGCCACATAAAATTTTAATTAATCTCTTTTGTACTAGTTTGTGTCCCAATGGTTAGCTACTAGCTTGTGATTTAAATGAGCCTTAATAATTAAATTCTAAATTAGTTTTTAGATTTTTTTATTAATATATCAACCCCTCTTTTTAGCAAGTGTTTTCTCAAGCAAATTAGCTTGGCCATTTTTAGCTCCAATGGTCAAGCAAGTTAATTAAAGCAACTCCAACGGTAACCTAATTTGACGATTAGCTTGGCATGCCACATAAGCTTTTAAATTAATTGTCGTTGTAGTTACTTTGAACTCCAATGGCTAGCTGTTAGCTTACAATTTAAATGAATTTCACCTCCTTATTAACTTTTATATTTCATTTTATTGATTCTATTTTTTATTAATAAGTTATTCTCCAAGCAAATTAGCTTGACAAAGCTAATATGCTTAGCCAATTAAGCTAATTTCTAGGTCCAATAGTCAAGCTAATAGCTAGTGTTTATTTATTATTGCAAGCAAGTCCCTATCTACAACCATTGGAATAGCTCTTAGTAGTTAGGGAACTTTCTAAATTGCGAGCAAGTCCTTATATACAATAATAATAAGAGCAACTCCAATAGCAAGCTAATTTGATAATTAGCTTTTTATGCCACATAAGTTTTAAAGCTGATTAGCATTTTAGCTACTTTTTGCTCCAATAACTAGCTATTAGCTTAGTAATTAGTTTTACAGAATTTCATGCCTTTTGGAACCTATTTATCCAGAGGTCATATCCGTATCTAGTTGCTTGTGTTTTTATAGGGGTGATAATTAACATAGGTAATCATGTGTTCTTGGCTTCTCGCTTTGTGGTTTGGCTTACAACCTTTGGAAGAATCTTTTTTAGGTTCATTCATATATTCGGGGCATTCCACTTTGTAGTGGCATATCATTTGTATAGTAGGTCCGTGGTATGAGTTTGAGGGGGCATAGGTTGTAGCTATTTTGGTTGTGGTGCGATGTCAGAATGTTAACAATAAGTTAATAGTACTTATTCATCTTTTATTAGCCAAGCAAAGTAGCATGCTAATTTAAGGTAAAATTGACGAAAAAAGTAGCTAATTATTAGTTTGATATGTTGAAAGTAGCATGCTAAGGTACTTGTAGTTATTCTATAATGAAGATTAGATGATAGTAACCTAATTAAAGATAGAAAAACAGTCCCAAAATTTAAGTTATTTTCTTCTCTTATGTATAGCAATCTTCTTTTCTTTAAGTTCACTTATGTTCCCGTATCTCTCATTTTTGCTTCTGTGTCCTTTATTTGAATCCTATTTAATTTACACCTTTTAGAGAATAAACTTACTGATTTCAGTTTTGTCTAGTGTTTATTCAATTTTCCAATATGAATTTGTGCTTGTAATTGTTGCATTACTTCAAGTTGCATACTTGGAGTGTTTTTTTTTTAATTTTTAATCTGCAATCGATCTTATATATGCTGGTGGTTGTATGTTGCGCAATTGTATTATGTTTGACTATAAAGATTGTTATTCATATTCATGCCTCAAGCTATCAAAAGAGTCGCTAAGTTTCAATTCTAGGAGTCTCAGCTTGATTGATCTGGTTGGCAAAGGGGTACATGTTTTTGCTTCAGCAGTATACTTTCTTTCTGACAGCTTGCATTGAACGATAACTGCTTGTGAATGTGTGTTATCTAGCACCGTGAGCAGTAGCTGAAAAAGGTTATATGTGTGTTGCAACGAACGTAGTGTTCAAATTTGTTAAAGTGATTGGTGGTGGTTGTGTCCTACTGTCCTGCTACTGCTACTTTTATTTTTTCCTCCGTGTCCTGCTGCTGCTGCTTTTGTTTTTTTTCCCCTGCTGTCCTGCTGCTGCTATTTTTGTTTTTGTGGCTGTGGGTTAATTGCATGTGTGCAAGTAGTTAGATTTTGCATCAATGATGATAAATGCCTTGGTTAAGTATTGTCAATTTGTCATGACTCTTGAGGTTTAGACTTAGAGTGTGATTACAATTCTTGCAATGACGGACCTTGGTGTCTTAATTGAACTTTGTTGCAGCCAACTTGCAAAATCATACTTGGGAATTTTGGCACCTTTTAGTATTGTGAAATTCACCTTTAAATTCTGTTTGCAATACCAGACAGTGCTCGAATGTAGCTCAAAGCTGCACTATTTTTGACCAAGTTTAGTTATGAATGTTAATTCATATTGCATTTGCAAAAATAATCATTATCTGAAAGTAGCTCTATAGCTGCACTATTTTATCAAGTCAAGATAATGGCAGGGTTCCCTAAACCATAACTTGTACCCATTGCTTCTAATTTTCCAATTATGGGAATTTTGACAAAGTTTTTTGCATTGCTCACCCTAGAAGCAACTTGTTCCCTCACTACTCTCACTTAAAAACTAAGGGAAGGCTGTAGGAATAAGCTTAAAAGTAAAGCCTAAAAAGGTTAATAAAGGGAGAGGGAATCAGAGCTGAAATTTAGAGTTGAATTTCAAAGCTGAATTTTAGAACTGAAATCAGAACTGAAATTCATAATTGAATTCAGAGCTGAATTTCAGAATCGAAATCTAGAATTGAATTTAGTGCTGAATTTCAGAACTGAAATCAGCGTTGAAATTCAGAACTGAATTCAGCACTGAATTTCGTAACTGAATTCAGCGCTGAATTTTAGAACTGAATTTTGCGCTGAATTTTAGAACTGAATTTTGCGCTGAATTTCATAACTGAATTCAGAGCTGCATTTTAGTTCTGAAGTTCAAAACTGAAAATCAGATATGAAATCAGAATTCAAAATGCTTGTATGTGTGTGTGTTTGTGAAATTCAGAGCTTGTGTGTGTGTATAATCAGAATGCTTGTAATGGCAATTCAAAGCACCTCTATGTTGCTAGTTGATTTGATTCGAGGTTTGATATTATAGTGGCCGTACCCTTTCTACTATGATAGCTTTGTTTTTATATCTATTTTGCAAATTTTCATGTAAAATTGTGCCTATTTTGTTTATATAACTCAAGATTCTACTAAAACTAATGGTATAAGTATGGTTGGCATAGTATTCAACATCTTTCCTACAAGTATCTATTCGTCAATACTCTTCTGATTCATTTTAGGTAATCTGATGTTTTTGGTATGAGTTTTTCTATAGGAAGCGATGGTAGATTATGAGAAAGCTAAACAAGCAAGGATAGAACAAAAATAGAAGTAGAATGAGTTTTGCTAGTTGTTACTGCTTTCTGTTGCTGTTTTCTGCCCGTTGTTGTTGATGCATGTTGCTGTCACTGCTGTCTACTACTATCGGTCTGCTGCTACCGCTATTTGCTGCTTCGGTGCTGCTGTAATTCGTTCTAGGTGCTGCTTATGCTATCTGCTGTCAGCTACTGCGCTGCCTGCTGATGTTACTATTGCTGTTCTTCTTCTTCTTTTTTTTTTTTTTGAAACAAAGATGTAGGAAGAATTTGGTCGTCTAATTTAAAGGCCAAAGCTGAACTTTTTTTTATTACATTACTTAGCCAAACAAAAAAATTGGTGTTTATAGCTAGATTTTTGTAAAGAAACTATGAAATTATATAAATTCAACTAATTTTTATCGTATATATTAATTTCACTATCATTGAGGTTGAACATGTAATACTTCCTCCGTTACGTATTATGTGTAACAAAGTTGCTTGCACAAACTCCAAGAAGGAATTTTTTAAGGGGGATTAGTTGAGGAGAGAGAAAACAAGCCCATGTGATTAGTTTGTAACAAAATCTAGTGGGACCGTTGAAATTGGAGCTAAAAACTGAACATATGTTAAAAAAATAAAGGAGGGAACTTTAAATTTGGGGAAATTTTAAAATTTTCATCCAAATTTGAAAATTTGGCTCCACCAACCAATTTTGCTTACATAAGGCAGCATATACATTCAGCAGTACATTCAAGGAGATCCTCTCTCTCTCTTAATAAATTACAACCACCATTAAAATTCTACCAAATTAGCATTTAATACAATCAAGTTTTCACAAAATACAAAATTAGCATAATAATCATGAGTTAGGGTACTTCCAGCAGCATTATTTGACGGGACAAAGCCTCACCACGTTCTCTCCGTTTGTTCTTCATCAACTGCACAAAAAAGGTGTCTAAAAAAATGGAAGATGAAGATTATGATCAGTTTTTTTGGTTTGGATTAAATATTGATGGAAGAAGCAGATTTGCAGCAAAACAACAACATAACAGAAGCAAAACATGAGTCACAAATGAGTAACAGAAAACAGCTTTCATTAGATGTTAAAAGGAAGCTTGTTGATGACATTTTATCAACTTTACAAGAAGACTCTTTACCAAGAGGGGCACAAACCAAATTAGCAGCCAAGCATGGTGTTCACAGATGCATTGTAAGCAGAGTATATGTAGATGTAATGAAACAAAGACAGAAGGGTGAGCTGATAGATGTCAGAACAAAAAAATGGGCAAAATTGGTCCTAAACCAAGAGAGTACTCTGATGAATGGCTTCAATCAGTTCCACTGAGATTGAGGACAACAAAAAGAAAGTATGCTGCAGCCTTAAAGGTATCCCATGTCACAATTCACAGACTGGAAAAAAGAGGGAAACTTAGAGTGCACACTAGCACTAATCATCCAGCTCTTAGTGATAACCACAAGGTGGCTAGACTACAATGGGTATTGAGCCATCTTACCTCTGCTACACCTACTGAGGATGCAACATTTATGGACATGTCTAAAGTCATCCACCTTGATGAGAAGTGGTTCTATTTGAGCCCAGAGACAAGGAGGTTCTACTTGTTACCCAAAGAAGAAGATCCCTACAGATTTCAACAATCCAAAAGGTTTAGGATTAAGGTCATGTCACTAGTGGAAAAATAGCTATCCGTAACGGGAAAAAGCAGCCCATCCGCAATGGGCAAGGGGCGTTACGAATGCGGTCGTTACAGATAAGCTATGTTATTTGTAACGGGCGCTGCCCGTTACAAATAACGGGTTACTCTTAACGGACATTTTAACTTTCCGTTACGAATAACCCGTTATTCGTAACGGACATTCTAACTGCCCGTTACGAATAACGGGTTATTCGTAGCGGACATTTAGACTGCGTTACTAATAACGGGTTATTCGTTATTCATAACGGGCATTTAATACAATTGAAGCCAAATTAAAAAAATGTAGCAGGGGATACCTGCTACTTGGTATGCTGGTAATCTTTTTTTTTTTAAGGAAAAGGGGAATTCATATTACTTAATTAATCAAATCAACATTATTCAAAAAAAAAAATTAATCAAATCAACAAGTTCAGGGGAGTTATAGAAACTATTCCAACAAGGTAACCCCAACAATTACAAAATATAAAATAAAAGCATGCTCTACTTGAGTTCCATATCAATTTCGAAGGCATTCTCGGCGCAATCCGGAATGGTGTTGTGCTTGATAATATCCCCCTCCATATTAATTGCCATTTGTGCATTGTTAATCGAACAATATCAGCTCCGCTGTCCGCAATTTTCATGACCTATCAGTAAAAGACCGTCTAGCCCACAAATAACCATAAACTGTGACATTCCTGTCACATTTCTTGTCTAGCTGCACTCTCTCTGGTGGAGTGACATCTTCAAAACGGTCTGCTAGCACATAAGGATGAGCAGTTCGCCAAGACAATGGATGAAATTTCATAATAGAGATGAATCTTGCAAGATTATGGATTTCACGCTTATTGCACCTGCATTTGGTAGAAGCGATTTAGAAAAGACCCAACGCAAATTAACGAATAAGATCTAAAAAAAGCAATAACAAATAAATAGTACTCACTTCTCATGAATAAGACCAAATAAGTAAAATAATTTGGCTCCATCATATATTTCAGTCCAAAAACGATGTTAAAAACTAATATATAGTCTCAAAATTGGTTGTTATTATACCTGGATCGTCTGCAAGAAATCAAATGGCAACCCACCCTTCTGCAGGCACACCAACTATGTTCCTCTCAACAGGATTTACAAGGTTGTACTTAGCAGGGTCTTTTTTAGAATCGAAGTTTCTGAATCCTTGTCCAACAACAAAGAAGTTAAACCCATAAAGGTGAAGTGGGTGGCTCTCTGCCCCTAGAATACTAGTGCCCTGCATCACAAGCTCAATGCTTGTGTTGAATGGAATTGACACCACCACGCATCACAATACAAGTTTCACAGATGAGCATACTGTAGGAAAGATTCCTGGTTAGAGGGTCGGGAGGAAGGCTAAGGGGTTACTTGTCAACACTAACCACACAAAAGAGAGAAAAAAAAATAAAAAATAAAGCAAAACAAAATAACTAAGTGTGCCATATGTGATTACTTGTCAACACTTTATGTATAAAATATAGCAAAACAACGTGACTAAGTGTCATAGTTGCCTCTTATATATAGAGATGGTGGTTCATGGACAAGATCAGTCTACATTGAGAGGTATCTGCGTGCTGAAAGATTGATGTGGACATGCAAATAAAATAAGCTCAATATAACTAATTAACTAACCACACAAAAGAGAGAAAATAAATTGGAAACAACTTCTATGATTTTACAAGAATTAGACACAATAAACCATTCATTCATTCTAAAAATGTCAAATGGAATCCTAACAAGCACACTTTATAAACTGATACCACACTTAGAATTTAGAACTAGGATTCTAACAATCTACTCACATAGCTCAACTTAATGCAGTAAATGACCTATTACTGATAAACTTGGTTTCATTCCTGATGAGTACTGATCATGTAGCTCAACCTACAATCTGCTACACTTCATGCAGCCAACAATTGATGTAATTACATTAATTGCAAAACTATGCAGGTTTGACATTTGATATCTAAGTAATATAACTGCTTCAAGATAACATTAAAACAAGAAATTTGCTAAAACAAATCCAACTCATATTATTCTCTTATTTTGCTGTAAAAGCTAATTAGCAAGTTCTAGTTGAACCATTTTGTGATCATATCTCCAGTAACCACATGACATTAATCAAACCAAGAAAACAACTCATATTTATTGCAGCTCATAATAGTAATATTCAGATAAACTAACTTGTTATTCAAGCAAGACAAGTAGCTAAGTCTTATTTGCAGATTCACATTATCATTTCTGATAAGGTTTACAACAGGATAACAACAATAACAAATGTTTGTATCAACACAATCAACAAATTTTCACAACATAAGCACTAACACAAACAGCTTATTTTTTACAATGCTTGTTTCAACCACACTAGCAACTAACTAATTTTCAGGCAGCATTATGTACCAACACAAGCAACTAATTTTCACAATGTATGTACCAACACAAGCAACTAACTAATTTTCAAGCAGCAGTATGTACCAACACGAGCAACTAACTAATTCTCACAATGTATCTTCCAACACGAGCAACTAAGTTTCACATTGTATGTATGTACCAACACGCGCAACTAATTTTCACCATATCAAACTTGTGCAGCTCATCCAATGAACAGGATTAACTTAACATATTATCTATACCAATATTAGACATGATAGAACAATAATCTAATAATATATTCAAAGTGTTTGAAAGACTGACATTGCAATAGCTTAACATATTATCTGCTATCATCTGTTTCAGGGACTAACATATATAGTAACATTTCATGAGCTTCCATCAACTACAGAAAATTGATCTACCAGTGATTAAATTGACAATCGATCATTAACTGCTAAAAGGAATAGACATAATTCACATAAAATAAGCCTTTTATTCATCAATAACTAGAGATGAAAATAGTAGTACAAATGTGACACATACCCAAATCCAAATCGAAGGCAGCCTCTAAAGTTCTTTTTTTTTTTAAAAAAAAATCAGAAACTAGTGATTTAGATTAGTGCAAGGATTGAAAAATGCAAGTCATACGCTTAACAAAACCCTGGAACCCTATTTGGTAAAGAACTCGAAGAACCCTAGAATTAATCAACATGTCATATCGGGTTTCTTAATTCTCTCTATAAACATAAAAAATTACAAAAAAACTCGGCAATCAGGTATTAATCGACAAAGATGAACTAAATTCATTACTGATTGCATGTATTACCCGTTTCAATTGAAGAACATATTTTTTTTAGATTTATTATTCGTTTAGACATACAAAGGATAATTGAACCATATAAATGCCAAAATTGAATCAAATACAAATTGCATGTTGAAAAAAATAAAGCAAATTAGAATTCACAAGAACAAATTCAAGAATTTAAACAATTAGATGCCCAGAAATCAATTCAAGAAGAGGAAAAAACCAGGGAGATATTCCAAAGGTCTTCACTTGTTGTTAAGGGGAAGATTGATGGAGGAGAGGAGAGAGGGCCTGACCACCTGAGTTTGAAATGAGAGAAAGAGGCCGGTGAATGGTGAGGAGGAGATGAGAGGAGGGAGAGAGGGACTGATGAGAGAGAAAGAGGTGTGACGACTATTAGGTGAAACCCTAAAAAGCCAAGTACTGGGCTCCTCTCATCAGTTGGGCCTGTTACGTGTAATAATATAGTACTCGTAACGGGCAAAATAGTGTCCATTATGAATACTTATTTATTCGTAACGGGCACTAATTTGTCCGTTACAAATACATATGTATTCGTAACGGACACTATTTTGTCCATAAGTATTTATAACGGACACTATTTTGCTCGTTACGAATAAATAAGTATTCGTAACAGACACTTTTTTGCCCGTTACGAATATATTAATTGTAACGGGCAAAGCTTTTGCCCGTTACAAATAGCCTGTTACGAATGAGATTTTTTCCACTAGTGTGTTTATGGCAGTCATTGGACACCCAATTCGTGACAGAAATGGTGTTGTCATTCATGATGGAAAGTATGGGATTTTCCCATTTGTGATAAAGGAACTAGCCAAGAATAGGCAAGCAGGGACTCTTGTCACAAAAGTAATCCAAAATGTCAATAAGGATGCAATTAGAGAAATGCTTCTCAACAAAGTCATACCAGCCATCATTGTAAAGTGGCCCTTATACATGGACAAAAATATTTGCATACAATGGGATAATGCAAGGCCACACAAAATTCCCCAAGATTAGGAGTTTCTGGCAGCAACAACACAACAAGGGTTCAACATCACAATGGTATATCAACCCCCCCCCCCCCCCAATCCCCTAACTTGAATGTTTTAGATTTGGGGCTGTTTAACACAATTCAATCTATTCAATATGAACACTTTCCAAACAATGTGGATGAGCTAATTGAGAAAGTAGAAGAGGCATTTGAAACATTTGATGCCACTACAAACAAATACATTTGGCTGTCTTTGCAAAGTTGTATGATAGAGATTCTGAAGAAAGATGGTGGGAACAATTACATATTGCAGCATTTGAAGAAAAGAGTATTGGACAGACAAGGGATTCTTCCAGAGAGCCTACAAGTGCCTTATGAATTGGTGCAGTCTGCTGTGAAGTACTTGAATGACAGGTTCAGGCCTTCAAACCAACAACAAGTCATTGAATGTGACATGAAAGTTGATGCAGATTAGGTGCAAGTTTGTGTGTCTTTTGATAGGGAAGTTCTTAGTGTAGTAGGACCTACAATTAGACTTCCACACATAACCATATGTGAGGGACTCAAATACATTGATGGTTATGTATAATTTTTGATTAGTTTTTTTTTTTTGTTTTTTTTTTAACTGTGGCAGTTAGAAAAAGGTCCCTTTTGTAAGGCAACTATGGTGTATCAGATCATAAGAATGGATCAATCCATAAAAATCTTTTGAGTTGCTATTGTTATTGCAATGTGTGTCTCAAAATGAAAAAAAAATCTACTTTTCTGAAAAATTCCATCAGCAAGATTGCATGTTAATCACAACAAACACACCAACTTTGGTTACCTCAACACCAATGGCTTAAAACATTGATGGAGCAAATCCAAAATTGGGGTTTTTAGATCATATGAGTCCCTTCATCATATAGAACACACAATGCAAACCTAGATTAAATGGGGAGGGGACTCTTAGATAGCTTGTATAAAGACTCAATGTCAGTGGAACATGATGCATAATAAATTAACTCTCAACAATGATCATTGAGATCACAACCTAACAGGGTAAAGTCGTATCCCCTAATCAAAAGGAATTACCTAAGTCCTCTGACTAAAGTAGATAGGGAAGTAGGGTCGAATCCACATGAAAATAAGTCTTTCTACTCCTAATTAATTATTATAATCTAAATTATCGAGGTAACCAATATTGTTGTAAATAAAGTCTATACTACGAAGATTAAGGTCGGAGGAAATAAAATAGGGAGAAATTAATTATTAAAATACCTAGGGCATAGGTTCACTAATAAACAATAATCCAGGGCAAATCATAATAAGCAATCATCAAGCATTGATTAATCAGATTATAAAGGGCTTTCGCTACGTATTATAATCACAGAGTTAATTTACCGGTATTAAATCTCATCTGTCGAATCTCGACTTAACCATTTATAAATTAGTCCGCCTATTGAAACTAAGCCTAAACATCAATTCTCATCTGTCGAATCTCGAATTAATATTGCTAAACTCATACAATTAAATCTGGCCAAACCTAATTGCATAGCATTAAATCAATCAATAGGAAATTAACCAAGCATTGATAATTAACAATCACAAATTTACCCCTTCATAATATTATTAGATCCCCATAAACCCTAGAAATAAAACTACTCAAGCATCATCATAACTAAACTAATCAAATAAATAAAGCAAGACATAATCAAAGACGTAAATAAAATAACTGAAATTAAAAGAGAAGAAATTGTTACCAAAAGAAATCTGGATTAATGAAAGTAATTAAGAACAAAGTTGAGAGAGAATTTAAGAGAGAGAAAATATCCTAAGTAGAGAGAGAGAAAATCTAAAAGTGAAGGTAATCAGAATTTACGTACATAATTCGTACTTAAACATTCCTCAAAACAAAAATTAAAACAAAACTAATCATCTACTAAGAAAAACACGCGCCCGATCGGGCGAGGGGCCGCCCGATCGGGCCCGCCTTTTGCTCTGCCCACTGCTGGTGTGCCGCGCCCGATCGAGCTTACGCTCACCCGATCGGGCGCGCTTCTTCCTTGAGGGTGCTTATGCGCGCATCCGCCCGATCGGGCGTATGCTTGCCCGATCGGGCCCGTCTTCTTCTTCAAGGCTTGGATTTCGATTGGGCTCGATTCCTCGGCCCAATCCGAATTTCCTCATCGGGTCTTGATTAATTGATCCAATAGCCCTGGTATCACATACCGAGCCCTTAATCACCGGCTCTCATCGATCCTGGGTTTCAAGAGTGGTCGTGTCCTTCTAGCTTCCGTAGTTGATCCATGAAAACCCGGGAAAATGCTCCAAAAGTGCAATTTCCTGTAAAACTCAACTAAAACTACGAAAACACTAGAAAACACAAATTAGTAATAAAAGTGGCCCTAAAGAGCCAAAAACACTACTAATTATGACCATGGGACGGGGGTAAAACACTATATAAATTAGACATATCAAACTCCCCCAAGCCAAACCTTTGCTTGTCCCTAAGCAAAGAGCTCATCAATGAACATATAAAACATGCCTCATCCCAATAAACAAAATCAAGTGCAAACGATTCAAGATAAATCTAATGAACATGCTTTAATGTCAATCAATCTCATTCATCTAATTATCCTTCATCCCCAACGATTGTCAAGTAAAGCAAACCACATGAGCATATAGAATTCAAGACTAGTTCTCGCACACTCAACTCTCATTTATGTGGCGAGTAAAAGATGTACTCGATCGCTCTCCAACCAACCCCTTTTATTTGTGAACAATGCCCTCCCATCTCACACTCTCATGTGTTTAAAACAATGAATGATCAACCTACTAGTCGACTCGAAATATGTCAAGTCATAACTTGCATTGATAAACAACACTTTCACATTCATACAACTCTATGCACAAAGGTCGGAAGGTCTTTAAAGCTTGTAAAGTAAGGCTAGGGTAAAGGGTAGGATAAATTTAGGAAAATGTGAAAGTAAAGCCATGCTTAAGGGAGCCATATCCTAATAAAACCCAAGGTCACAACAAGTGATGACCAAAACATCTCCAATCACAACTCAACTCCACAAAAGTTCACCAAACAATCATATATACAACACAATCCCAACACTTACATATTCGCTCACAAAATATGATAATATGGAATAGAGTGAATTAAAACAAACTTTGAACCACTTATTCTTTTTCTTTCTTTTTTTTTCAAACTTGAACTCTTTTTTTTTCTTTTGAATTTTTTTCTTTTTTTTTTCTTCTTGAACAACCTTCAAATAGAACATTTGAACATATGAAACAACTTTTTTTTTCTTTGCTCTTCTTTTTTTTCTTTTTACCTCATATTGGAAATTTTCAACTTTGTAACACAAAACATCAATATTTTCCAATCATAATATCAAAGAACAATCACTCTTCTTTTATTCTCACATTGTGCAAATGATATGCACACCACAACTTCCTCACCTCACAACTAATAGCTCCCCCAAGCCAAGCTTGGGACTAGTGACCAATGGGGCTCATATAGGCTTGTTATGTGGCTAAATAAACAATAAAAGGGCACAAGCAACAATATGGGTAACAAGAAGGGAACAAATGTATCTAATATCGTCTAAAGGCTTCCTAAGAGAACAAATGCCTTCGTCCTCCTCAATGTGCATAATATTGAGCTATATAAACATTACTAATAGTTGCAAACCAATACTCAAATTCATTGACATACCAGGAACTAACACACATTCCTAACCAAATCAACTAGTCAAGCACTATATTCACAAATAGTTGGCAAAATTGACGCATGTTTAGGAATCTAAACAATTAAACTTCAAATCATGATCAAGAATATTCACAAAGCTCATTATCATATAAGTATGAGACATAGGGAAGCATGATTTACAATTCATTGGAACGTATTTTTGAATTTTTTTTTCAAATTTTTTTGTATTTTTTTATAAAGGAAAGCAATAAAAACTACACTAGGAAAGCAATAAATAGAGAAGAGAGAAAGAGAGTTACCATATATACAAGAAATCTCCCCCCAAGCCAAATCAAGCAATGCCCTCATTGACTTGGGAAGGTAGCTAGGAGAAGCTACTCCTCATCATCATCCATCCGCTCATACCCTCCTCCATAGCTTGAGCCGGCACCACCCTGGCTCGTTCCAGCACCACCATAACCCGAACCACCTGCAAAGTAGTTAGGGTTCACATTTCCCCCCATACCCTCAAAAGGAGAATCACCCCCATATCCATGGACCAAAGAGTAGTCCACATAAGTACCAAATGCTCCAGGAGTGGAATACCCTCCTTGGGGGTATTGGAACCAGTCGGGAACTAATGCTTCGGGGGGAATAGCCCCTCGGCGTGCATAGTCATCGTACATGGGGTATAGACCCCTCCCAAGGTTCCTCTCTATGTGACCTACCCGAATATCCAAGGTGCTTAACCTAGAATCTGGGTTTTTGCTCCA